AAAAAGGCCACAAAATTTAAAAACCTAGTAAAAAAAAAAAAAAAAAAAAAAAAAAGCAGTGAAAGACAAAAAGGCATCTTTTAAAAAGTGGAAGTCAAATCCTAGTGAGGTAAATAGAAAGGAGCATAAACACTGCCAAATTAAGTCTAAAAATGTAATAAGAAAAGCCAAAAAGGAGTTTGAAGAATAGCTAGCCAAAACCTCAAAAGGTAATAAAATGTTTAAGTACATCAGAAGCAGGAAGCCTGCTAAACAACCAGTGGGGCCCCTGGATGATAGGAGCACTTAAAGATGATAAAGTCATTGTGGAGAAACTAAATGAATTCTTTGCTTCAGTCTTCACGGCTAAGGATGTTAGGAAGATTCCCAAACCTGATTCGTCCTTTGTAGGTGACAAATCTGAGGAATTGTCACAGACTGAAGTGTAATTAGAGGAGGTTTTGGAATTAATTGATAAACTTAATAGTAACAAGTCACTGGGACCAGATGACATTCACCCAAGAGTTCTGAAAACGCACATATGAAATTCCGGAACTATTAACTGTGGTTTGTAACCTATCCTTAAAATCAGCTTTTGTACCTAATGACCGGAAGATAGCTAATATGATGCCAATATTTAACAAGATCTCTAGAGGTACTCCTGGCAATTACAAACCGGTAAATCTGATGTCAGTACCAGGCAAATTAGTTGAAACTATAGTTAAGAATAGACTTGTCAGACACATAATTTGTTGGGGGAAGTCTACATGGTTTCTGTAAGGGAAATAATGCCTTACTAATTTACTATTTACTAGAGTTCTTTTAGGGGGATCAACAAGCATGTGGACAAAGGGGCGCCAGTGGAGATAGTGTACTTAGATATCCAGAAGGCCTTTGATAAGGCCTGACTCAAAAAGGGCTCTTAAATAAAGTAAGTTTTCATGGGATAAGAGGAAAGGTCCACTCATGAAATACAGTGTTTGAAGATAAGGGATAGGAGGGGGTATACCACGGTACAAGTAAAACAAGATTGTTGAGGAATTTTACTCTGGAAAGTGCCTCTTACTTGTAAGCATGTCTATTATAAAGAGAGGTAGTTTTAGGGGATGTATTTTGGTATCACCCTTTCTGTGAAATAACTGAACATGTAGCAAGAACTGGTGATGTATTAAACTCTTCCTTTTTTGTACCATACTGTTTTTTCCTATCAACAATAAATTGGCTCAGCTTGGTTATTTGGTTTCCAATATTGACTGGCAATTGTAAGCAATTGGCTATACATTAACCAAAACAATTCAGGTATACTCAAAGTAAAATTAGAGATGAAGGAAATTAACATCATTCCCTCACTCCACAGACCTCTATTATGCTTACCTTTCTAATTATCTGCATCCACAGTTGTCTTTCTACGATTTCTAACAGTGGGTTCTTGCAACTAGAGTATAGCATCCGTTCTCGAATACTGCACGTATACCCAGGCATAGAGTAGATAAACACTGCAGAAGGAAAACGTAAAATCCTGTTAAAATGATAGCTTGTTACAGACGTGTTGAACAAAATCTAATATGAAAAGGATGAAATAATACCACTATACATCATTCATTACAATGTAAAATAACAAGTCATCAATGAATGGAAAGATATTGGCCAATATTTTCAAGTAACCAATAGTTTTGGCTGTCCAACTGGAGAAACACTAAACAGTGCTTATTTTCAGAGTGCACTTAGCACTTTCAAAAAAATCCATTTTAATGTTTAACACACAAGGGCACTGAAAATCACTTCCAGGGCCAGTCCACAACATTTTGGCACCTGAGGCAGGGAGCTCAAATGATGTTCCCATGCCCCTCACTTGGGCCAAAACTTTGAAAGGTCTCTTAAGCTCTCCTTCCTCTAGCAAAGCACTCTACCATCTCTGTGCATCTAGAGCAGAGAGAATACATACGCACCAGCAGCAGACAATTTTCTACACTGAGTCCTAGTAGCGCCCCCCTCCCACAGTCTGGCACCTGAGGCGGCTGCCTCAGTTCACCTCATGCTAGGGCTGGCCCTGATCACTTCTGAAAGTCTTGAGCACTGACACTATGCTGAAACTTTTATCTTTTAAATATCCTCTTCCCCATCTTAAAGATTACTTTTAAGTTACAGAAAATGAAAAAATGAAATTTCACAGATAGGAATTCTCATACCTATGGATTCCAAGTAATCTCCTTCATGGGAATGTTTATAAAGGAAAAAATGATAGCGTGCTGAATCCTTTGGAATCCTGTTTGGCAAATCTTTAAGTTCAGTATGGAGTGTGTTGGCCAAAACAATAGTTTCATTTTGTATATCAATTTCCTGTTAAACACAAATTAGAGCAGATACAGTGAGCCATGTAACCAGAGACTGTGATATGAGAAAACAGATAAGACCACACAATTTAAATAGTTATTTCATAATTGTACTCTATAAAATAACTTGAATACACTTATTTTTTTACTTGCCAGTTGCACATAGTTGAGTTGTTTATTTTTCAGTTTTTCCAAAGCCTGGATAGCTTCCTTGGTCAAAGGGAATGCTACCCCCTGTAGTGTCTGATGCTTCGTATCCACACCAACTTCCACTTGCACCTGGAATTAATATAAATCAATTCAGATTATAATCTAAAATCTTCAAAGTTCTCTCACAGATTAAGACTCAGGGTAAGTACTATTTCATTCTGCATTCAGGAGCTGACAGATTTTAAAAAGTGATTAAAATGGCATCACCTTACTCAATGGCTCTGTTTAATTTATGTTTCCATAGTTACATCTACTTACTTTTTGAAAACATACAATTTCCTGTTTTTTAATATCAGTGCCCCATAACTATTCTCTCTGCAGTGCTGAAGTATTAACAGAATAATTAGTTAATCTGCAGTTTCAGAATCTTTAATACTGGTGTCTCTATAAACTAGGAAGAAAAAACAGCTTGACTTTGATAGTCAAAGTAAAATCCTAGTGCTGGTTGACAATTAAAAAAAAATCCATTTTTTTTTATAAGAAAAGTGCAGAGTTGATTTGGACCCCATCAAAAGCCTAGAGAGGTGGAACCAATGAGGTCACATAGGGCATGAATACACTAGGGAATTATTTTGAAATAACCACTCCCAAAGTAACTACAGGAAACCACCAACTTCCAAACGCCCGAGTTACAATCCCCCACACTTACAACCATTTTTGTAAGTGCGGAAGGGGCCAGCCTCCGCCCCCCCCCCCAAACTTACATCCTTGGCCTGCATTTACAACAGCGCATGGCACCTATCATAAATGAGAGTTCCAGTTACGACGTCCCCAACTTGAGACACTTCCCCGGAAACAAACTGCGTTGCAAGTCGGGGGCTGCATATATTTCAAAATAGTGTTTCCACACTACAGGGAAGCCTTGGAATTAGTTGGAGGCAAGGTCCCTTAATGTGGAGGTGCTACTTGAACTTTACTCCCCAGTGATTCCTGGGCTCTATTACTCTGGGGAGTAGTTATTTCAAAATAGCAGCAATGGAGCATCCATAGTACTGCTATGTTGAAATAAGCATTATTCCCCATGGAAAGCAGGAGTTATTTTGAAAAAAACAACCCCTTATTTAGAAACAACAGGCTTGGTAGTATGGATGCTCTACTTGTTATTTCGACCTACCTAGAGAAGACCAGGGCACAGAGTCATTTTCAGAGAAGAACCATTGTGGAAATGAACTGAATTCACTGCTCCTGAGTTTCATTTTCCATAGCTAACTGATCAGAATTTATCTTAGCAGCTTATTTATATAGACTATATTGGCCAAAGCCACAAAAGCATTTTCCAGTGGCTGATTTATGTTCACCACGCAAGTACAGCATTAAAAGGTTTAGATCTGATTCCAAATGAAGAAAAGTTGTTAATGTTAAATTTACAAACTGAACTCAATGCAACATTCAAGTTTAAAAATCCAAAACAATACAAAACAGGAAATGAAAAGGATGAAGTATTTGGAGCAATGCAAGATCACACACACTGTATGTGTTAAGGTATGCATTTACATTCCAGTTAGTAACTGAAAATGTGATATTCTTCATGCTTGGGCTTAGCAAGCCAGTATTGACTAGTCACAATCAGTTGACTCCAGTCAAACCTTCAAATATTCCTGCAAGAATGTCCTAATGTAGGCATCAGCCTATATGCAATCCTACCTAGAAGTCTCGATCACTCACTAAATGCCAATTTCAGCTGTTGGGACAAAAAGATGAAATAATTGAAAACTGAGCATTGTGATTTGCTGGTATCTTTTAAAACTAGAGTGTGTGTGTATCTTTGATTGCATGATACACACAAATAATGTATATAATGGTTTACAAACCACATTAAACAGGTTTAAAAAAGAATTATCTGCCTTAAAGACTTCCCCCCTGCACTTATTAAAACAGAGATCAACTCAGAAGGAAGTATGGAAAAGTACCACTGTCGTTAAAATTCCTCCTACAACGCAGAGAAAACATGCACCACCACTAAACTTTTTAAAGGGTTGGACTGCTGTCTACTTAGTATAAGTGCATTTTAAAATTATTTTTTCCTTTTATATTTGCTATATTTTTATTTTATGTTTAATTTCATTGTTCTTTTCTAACAATACTCACATTGAAATGCTAACCTAGCGTTACTATAAAAAGTAACAGGAGTCATTTATTATAACTTTTTTTTGTTGTTAGTTATTTTTAGCTCAGAAAAATACAAAGTTAAGTAACTTGTTTTTTGTAATTAGGCCCAAGTATCTGTCTAAGGCTAGGCCTACTGAAGGCCACCAAATCTTACTCTTTTTTGTTACCATGCTAGTAAGTTAGTACTTTAAAATACCGGATCATTTTTGCATTATTTGACTGGTCAATTGGCCAATTGTTTGAACTACTCAAATGCCTAACCTTAGTTCATATCCCACCCATCAAACTTTCTGAAGTTTTTCAATCATTTGGTTTGCTTCCCCCCTCCTGTCAGTTTCCTCCACCAATACTTCAAGAATCCTCCACTCATCCCACAGACAATGTTGTACCTCATTAATCTTAATTTGTCGAAGTTCCTCTTCTGCTGTAGTCAGAGGGGCAGGTGAGGACTGTGATATCAAGTATTTTTTGTATCCATTCAATGAAACATCATCCTGAAAACACAAACAGTATTTGCCATCAATGATTCTTCAGTTAAAAAGTTTTCTTTGAAGATACTTAATACTCAGAAGGAAGAAAGGGAAAGAACAGTTCATTTACCTTAAAGTATTTGTTGGGATTTTTTTTTAAAATGTCTGATCTGTGTGGATCTCACTCTAAGTATGCATTCACCTCACGAGTGTGAGATCACAATCTCTGAGCAACAGTGTTCTGTAGATCATAGAATCATAGAACCATAGGGCTGAAAGAGACCTCAGAAGGTCATCAAGTCCAGCCCCCTGCTCTAGGCAGGGCCAATCCCAACTAAATCAACCCGGCCAGGGCTTTGTCAAGCCGAGACTTAAACACCTCTAGCGATGGAGACTCCACTACTTCCCTAGGTAACCCATTCCAGTGCTTTACCACCCTCCTAGTGAAATAGTTTTTCCTAATATCCAACCTGGACCTCTCTGACCTCAACTTGAGACCATTGCTCCTTGTTTTGCCATCTGTCACTACTGAGAACAGCCTCTCTCCATCCTCTTTGGAACCTCCCTTCAGGAAGTTGAAGGCTGCTATCAAATCCCCCCCCCCATCACTCTTCGCTTCTGCAGACTAAACAGACGCAAGTCCCTCAGCCTCTCTTCATAGGTCATATGCTCCAACTCCCTAATCATTTTGGTTGCCCTCCGCTGGACCCTCTCCAATGTGTCCACAACCTTTTTGTAGTGGGGGGCCCAGAACTGGACACAATACTCCAGATGTGGCCTCACCAGAGCCGAATAAAGGGGAATAATGACATCTCTGGATCTGCTGACAATATTCCTCTTAATGCAACCTAAAATGCCATTAGCCTTCTTGGCTACAAGGGCACACTGTTGACTCATATCTAGCTTCTCATCCACTGTAACCCCCAGGTCCTTTTCTGCAGAACTGCTAATTAGCTGGTTGGTCCCCAGCCTGTAACAATGCTTGGGATTCTTCCGTCCCAAGTGCAGGACTCTGCCCTTCTCCTTGCTGAACCTCATCAGATTTCTTGTGGCCCAATCCTCCAATTTGTCTAAGTCACTCTGGACCCTATCTCTGCCCTCAAGGGTATCTACCTCTCCCCCTAGCTTAGTGTCATCTGCAAACCTGCTGAGGGTGCAATCCATCGCCTCATCCAGGTCATTAATAAAGATATTGAACAAAACTGGTCCTAGAACCGAACCTTGGGGCACTCCGCTAGAAACCGACCGCCATCCTGACATTGAGCCGTTGATCACTACCCGCTGGGCCCGGCCTTCTATCCATCTTCCTGTCCATTTAGCCAATCCACATTCCCTTAACTTGCTAACAAGAATATTGTCGGAGACCGTATCAAAAGCCTTGCTAAAGTCAAGGTATATCACATCCACTGACTTTCCCACATCCACAGAGCCAGTTACCTCATCATAGAAGCTAATCAGATTGGTCAGGCACGACTTTCTCTTTGTGAATCAATGCTGGCTATTCCTAATCACCAAGGCTTGCCAGCTGCGCTGTCTGGTGATCTGCGCATGCGCAGATCATTCTGCGCATGCGCAGATTGCCTGAACCCAGCTCTTCTGGGTTGCAATCTATTCGCCACGGGTGAGTAGACTGCATTATTTGTTGAGCCCTGCTAATCACTTTCCTCTCTTCCAAGTGTCTCCAAATGGATTCCTTAAGGATCCCTTCCATGTCCTTATGGTCTTTCCACATGAGAGTAGAGTAGCCAGAGCTATCTCTCAGTTCTTCACTAATCCAGATTAACAGCTAAAAAAGACTGAAGAAGCAAGGATGGAAGTGAATTGTGGGGGCCACACAGATACAATAACTGTGGTTCTTCAAGATGTTCTAAGGTAAATAACAATTCTTTTGAGTATTTGGCCACATGAATTGCTTTCTCTACAAAATAATATCTGTATAAATCCTTTTTGAGGCATAAAGATCTTGTGCAAAAGTGCACAAAGAGGACACCTCTAAATAGTAACGTCCAAACTGTAAAGGATTTGTGAGTGAGAATCATGCAAGATGATTCCTTCAGAGAAGCAGAATTACAAGGCAAAATGATTTTTCTTCCTCTCAAGGTATCATCTGTGCAGGAAGAGCACTTCAGTTGCAATATGAGCTCTTACATCTGTCGACAAAGGGCAAAAGGAAAGCCTTGAAAGGCATAGGGCTTTGTGGCAGCCTGACAGATGATCAGAATTCACGGGGCCTAAATTGTAGAAGAAGATCTACCATTACTTGAACACTGTCCTCACTCTAACACAGTGGTTCTCAAACTTTTCAGCATCATGCCCCTTTTTGATTTTTGAGAAACCCTCATGCCCCCCAAAACAAGATAGCAGCAATACTTGTTGTGCAAAAAAAACCCCCAAAAAACCCAACAAAAACAAAAACTGACCAGGGCCAAAAAGCAGCAGCAGCCGCTTTAATTCCCGGGACCAGTATAAAAAAGGCTACCGGTACTATAGGGGAAAAGTTGTTGACCCCCCTCCCCCCACCCCTCCAAAACTGCCCTTATAAGAGCAGAGCAGGCATTGCCCTTTTAATGTGGCCATTTTAAAATCTGCCTGGGATGCTCTATCCTCCCTCCGCCCCAGACAGCTCGACTTGAGCGTGTTCAGGCAGACATCTGAGACAGGAAAAACAGAATACACCAGACATTTCACATGGTATTTTCTGAAAAAAGAGAAAAAAAAAAAAGGAACTGACCGGGGCTGAAAAACTTAGGGGGGAGGATTGATTGGTGGGAGGAGGGAAAGAAGGGGCTGGGTCACCTCGCGCCCTCCCTGGAATTTCTTCATGCCCCAAAGTTTGGGAACCTATGCTCTAGCACATAAATGCAGGATTGGAAAATCTGGAGCTCTTGATATATGGAGAAGCCTCAAATAGCTCTCTCAAAGGCATACATCACCTACATATCCACATACACCAACGTTGAGAATCATGTACGTATCTGAGTATTTCATGTAAATTTCGAAGAAAAAACAACCATCTCTCTCTCTCTATCAAGATGAAATCTGAAATTTTAGAGCACAATCTTAGGCAAATAATTTAAAAACTTGAAGATCCTCCATCTGTTCCTAGAGATGATTGATTGTTTATCCTTTATAATATTTAGGCAGAAAAACTAGACAGCCTCAAAACAAACCATAAAAGGAATAGAAAATGAAAAGATTCTTAAAATAGAACTGCTGGTTTTTTACATATTTTATACTGCTGTTCTCTTTCTAAATAAAGGAAGTTTTATATTTAAATTATTATTTTAAATATTTTACTATACAATTTAACCCATATAATTGTATTATTCCTGAAAAACAACATATATGTGGACATTAAAAAAATACCTTTGTTGTTCCAAATACTTCATCTTTAATGTGACCACCTCCAAATTCTTTCTTTAGTGTTGCCCGTGTTGCTGCATACAACATTTTTTGACGAACCTGTTATGTTGCAAAAATAATTGCTTTTGATTTGTTTATGTACAGGAAAGCTAGTGTGTATGCTAAAACTATTACTCGACTTCTAAAATATTTCTTTAAGCAAAATAAGTTACAAGAAGAACAACAGTTACATTTGGAAGCTATATTTCATAATAATAGAAATACTGTATACTATGTACTACAATGAGCTTTGGAATGAGATAATTTGAGATACTATTAACTATTTGAAGAGAGATGTCCAAACAATGTTTGATGTTCAATAATGAGAAATGTTTTACAACAACCCAATTAAAGTGATTCTAAATTGCAACTGTTAAGGTCATTTTCACAGTATTGGGGGTTGTTTGCAGAAGTTACCAATTACATAGTAACATCTTTTTTAAAAAAATGTTCTAGATTCTGTTGTTGCTGCTCCCAACACTGATGGAAGCAACTGACTTTATTATAAAAAAGAGACATACAGACAGAACAGTCTATAACTATCCCATTGATCCCTGTTTTGGTTCAATGATGGCTCTGAACAACTGTTATAACCACACACAGAATAAAAAAATAACTGGTCTATTCCATTTCAGTATTTAGATGCACTTAAGAAAAACAAATATTTAAAAAAGTACTAGAGCTTGTAAAAGTAGTATTAATCACAGGCAGCTGCCTAACAAATAGAAACAGCTCCATAAATCAGCCTTGTCAATCCGATTTTCCTTCCTGACTAGAATGGAATTTAAGAAGAGTTAAAGGAAATGACTTTTTGAGGAAGAGATATCTGTATCAAAGAAAATATTGAAGTTCTTGTTTACTTTATAGCTAAATGCTTCTAAAAAGATGGAGCATTCCTTCTTGAATTTAATTAAGGAAATAAAAATTTAGACTTCAAATAAATACATCTAATATTTGATGAAACCTTTTATTTCAATTAGCATGAAGTAGATTGTAATCTTTTCAGTTCTGGACTTCCTCAGTTACCCAGTTTTCTCTTGTCCTTTTCTTTTCCACAACCTAATCCTGAGACAGGCCAACTAGCCTACTCATTTATCCACTGTATTTGTAGAGTGCCAGTCTCCAGAGCATAATTTCTTGCTAAAATTGGCTAAACTAATAATACAATTCCTAAATCAGCATCAAATAAATTTCAAGATGCTTGCCCACATCCTTCCAGAACCAAAACACTGCCAGCTCCTACTCACCTAGAATTTAGATTGGGTGGCCTTCAGATGTTAACTTTTTTACTTTTTTTCCAAACACAAAGATAGTAATATTACTTACATGAGAATGATCTGGTGACCACGCAATAAAGATCCATTCATATCCCTGAGCATTCTGAGAATCTAATCTGTATAATATATAACATGGTTGTTTGTCTTCAAGAAGGGGAAGAATAAAGGAATCATAATCCTTTTCCCATGATTCAGCAGGCTGCCTGGAGGATCCCACTACAAGCTGCTCTATAAACAAAAAACAAACTGTAGGTAAGTACAGTGGTTTGAAACATCGAGCTTTTGCAATTAAAGATACATGTGACTTAATTCTGCAAAGATCTATCCATGAGAATGGAAAACAATAGTACTCCATGTAGAAATAGTTATACACACAACTGTAGGATCAGGGCCTACATTGCTTCAACTCTTCAATACTAGAATATAATATAATATCCACCGGTTAGTCTCCTTGGCTGTGTCTACATTGGCATCCCTTTCCGGAAAAGGGATACTAATGAGACACATCGCAATTGCAAATCTGCAGGGGATTTAACTATCCCCCGCAGCATTTGCATTTACATGGCTGCCGCTTTTTTCCGGCTTGGGGATAAGCCGGAGAAAAGCGCCAGTCTAGACGTGATTCTCCAGAAAATAAGCCCTTTTCCGGAGGATCTCTTATTCCTACTTTTATCCGCAAGCCGGAAAAAAGCGGCAGCCATGTAAATGCAAATGCCGCGGGGGATATTTACATCCCCCGCAGATTTGCAATTGCGATGTGTCTCATTAGCATCCCTTTTCCGTAAAGGGATGCCAATGTAGACACAGCCCTTTTATTGTTGGCCTGCAACATCTTCAGAACAAAGACTATTAAGTAGATGTGGAAGGGATTTTCACTTAAAATAAATCTGGTTTGAATAGAAACTAATATGTATGTAATGCTATGTAAAGAAAATCAACAGACAATTCTGTTTTTCTTTCTATATAAAAGACAAGTTCATGGGAAGCCAGGATGTTGTCCTGAGAACATTATTATTTATTGTACCTAAATGCCCCAACTGAGATCAGAGTTGCAACAGACCTGTGCATATATGCATAGGTACATCAACACTGGAAAAAATGACCCAGAGCATAGTCATAGTAGGCCAGGGTCAGCTGACTTGGATTGCAGGGCAGACTGCAGAACTAAAATTGCATATGGGCTAGCCCAGTGTTTCTCAGTGTAAAATGTTTTTAAACAAGGCTTGTGAGGGGGCATTGACAAAAGGTTTTCTTTAGATAAAGGAATCTAGTTCTGTCTGACTGACTGACCATATCTCCCATGTAAATTTAGCAAGGTGTAATCAAAGACAAACAAAAGCTCAGAACTCATTTGAAGAACAAGAAAGGAAAAACTGGTGAATTATTCTCAGTGGAGGATGGAGATTGCACCATAAGGATGCCTAACACCTTCCTACCTCTTGAAACAGGGTCAATGAATTTGAAAAAATATTATTTTTAAAGGTTACTGGTCTATACAAGAGGGACAGAGAACTCCAATGTTATCCTTCACTTGAAGAAATAGGCACAATCCCCACACGCATTGCTGGAAAAAGGAAGCTTAGTGAGAAAATTACCTGTAGCATAGGGGCTTCTCAGTTCCGAGTGTCCAGAACAACATAATGCTGTTTTTTGTTTCCACTTTTTGTATTTACACACTGAGTGTTAAATTCCCAGTGGAAGATACTCCCTACTTATTGCCTCAATACCTTGTTGCATTGTACCTTGCCAATATCAATTAAATTCAAATGGTATACAGCAGGTCAATATTTGCTATCCTCACCTGGAAAAACCCTACCACATTGCCCTGCCTACACTAGAATATCTACTGTTGCTTATTTCAGTGGTATGGATCTATAGCAGGGTTATTGCAATGGTGGGACCCTACCCAAAAATGACATGTAGAGTGGTCAGAGCAGACTCATTTACATTGAAATACCAAAAATGTTTCTGCAGCTTACAGCCCTTTCAAAACTGCTCTGATGCCTGAGCTCTGAGAACAAACTAAAAAGTCTGGTTGTGCTTAGCTATGCAGTAAGTTATGCAACGTTTCAAACAGTTTGATTCAACTATGGACTTAAAGCCAACAAGCTTTGTTTAAAAAGCTAATGGCTATAATTTAATTTAAAATAAAAAAACTTGTGAATGCCATATTTGGACTATGTAGCTTTGCATATTTGCCACAAAATATCAAAGTTCCATGTATTTCATAAAATTATTGTCAATGAAAAATATCTAGTTATTTGAGCATGAGAACTGAGGATAGTTAGCTATACTTCTTGCAGGATGGGGGTTATACACTATATTACTGTAGTTGCAGGAACATTTAAAATTCATCCGTAAGGCTTTGTGTCAGTGTTAAAATCTTGAGTAAAAGCAAACAAATAAAAGTACACAAATATTCATAACACTCTTTACCCATTTCTCCTTTTTAACTGTTTTCATAAATTGTTTCAATCCCTTGAGATTTCTGACAACCAAACAACACTGCTTATTCTGACATGAAATGACAACTATTTTTTCCAATATAAAAATACTGGAAAACACTGAAGTGTCAATGAAATTCAATCCCATCTTCAGAATATGGTAGATCCTAGCAATGGTCAGGTTTGTGTGTTCTTTATTTCTCATTCTTTTTTCATATTGCGAGTAAAGATTTATATTAAAATATAACTAACCATTTTCAATAGCTATTTTTAAAATCCTGTACTGTCCATATCTTGCTCTGGCAAAGGTATCTTTAACATCTCCACTAGCTGGAAAAGAAAAAATATATATATTAATTAATGCATTCACTTATTTAAGCCATGTGTATGCTTAAAGTACACTTGTTCATGTGATTGTAAAAAGAGATTAGTCCTAAACCATTCAGCTGCACCTTTACCAGAAGGTCAGATTGAAAACAAATACTGTAACTGTTTATATTTCCCCAATTTCCATTCACTACTTGTGCTCCACTCACATTATCTTACGAAGGTCTGGATTGCCAGTTTTGGCTAGATAGATTATCCTAGGTTTCGTCGCAATCTTTAATTAAAGATTAATCTTTAATTCTTTAATATTTAATCCAGTTCTGGAGAGCTGGCAACCCTATCTGAACAGTCATCTCTCTTTCTTATGTACCTTACTCAGCAATGAAACAGTTAACAATGCTGATATTTACGTCATCATTCTTAGGTTTCACTGAATACTCCATGGAGATGGATTTATGTTACATTTCTTGAAGCAATAGCTTCAGGATTCCTACAAACTCATGTATATAATTTTCAAATTTATAAACTGCTTATTCACTAGATACAATGAAAAATGATGTGCGAAAGAAAATCACAAAAAGCATACATGTGGATATTTTTAGCATTTGGTTGTTTGCTTTTCCTAAAGTCCCTGAGTACTACTGATGAAGCTCCCCTTTCATCTTTCATATCTACCTCCCACATGTATGCCTCTGATAACAACTTTCAGTCTCTCACCTGTCATAATAGGACAAGTTTAGAATAAATCATCTGATTTAACCTCTAATTTCCTTTGTAGCGCTTATTTGTTGCTTTTTACAAACTCAAATATACTTTGCAAAGTCACATTTTTTCATTTTTGTAAATGAATTAATTGATTAGACCATCCAGGATGTTTGGTGTACCAGCAGGATTTGGGATTGAACTGGGACAGCTTTATTCCCCTGGAGTGTTTTTTTCCTTGTGCTCTACCATCTACGTTGTATATACAAACTAAAATACATGTGCATTTAAAAAAGGAGTTGACAGGGAGGGTTTTTTTGAGGCACTAAACGCAGTTTGACAGTCACTAAGTTAAGACACCTTTGAAAACCTCTCTGAAAGCCCTAATGATTGTGAAAATAACTTTCAAAATGCAAACTGCAAGTAAATCAATGAAGCATTGCCTCCTAATTGCTGAAAGTGAAAAGCCAGTACTGTATTTAGTTGCTGTCATCCTTCATTGCCAAGCACAGTCTACTGGGCCCTAGGAACGGAGTAGGAGAAGGTCTGTTACTCCACTTCTTCCACCAAGAAATTCAGATTTGTTTATAACTGGAGTATAAACCCCCCTTTTAAAATGAAATCTGCAACAGTCGAAAATGCAGACTGGATGCTTGTGGTTCCATTTTCAAAAGTGAAGTGATTAATATACTGGGGTTAGTAATCATAATTAGGTTTCAAATCTACCCCATCAAGATAAACAGTGGAATTCCAACATTTCTACTATTGCTATTATTTTTCTATACCCCTATCCGCACTCTTAAACTACTATTTAAACAAAAGAAAGAGCAAACTCATTTATAAAAGCGTGTTAAAGAATTGTGTGTGGACCTGTAAGGATTATTTTAGTCTTAGCAACTCTATTGAATATATTTGAATTTAAGTGAATTTAGTTATAAGACTTACTACAGAACTGTGCATGTTGGTTTCCCAAGTAAACCCACGATATATACCGTAGTGACAGCAAAATAAAAGTCTATCAAACAGAAAAAAACCCATAAAGTCTTCATTTAGTCACATGCCCACATCAAACAGAGAGGTACATATGCTGTGTCTTACTACACTATCATCCATGTTCATGTATAAATGCTTCTGTTAATTTTCATCAGTGGTTGAGATTATCTTCTACTCTTCAAATTTTTGGTACAGGGAGCCTTTATTTCTTCCCATTATCAACCCAACACACAACTAATTAGACTAATTTCTTCCCCTTCCCCAAGGACTAACATCAGCTCTATATAATATGCTACCAAGTTTTCTTTGTCTTTCCCCTTTCCAGAAATTCTCTTTCCCCTCAAAGAAAGATACATTCACTCATCTTCCTAAGAATTGTTTTTCCCCTCCCCTAAAAATGTTATCTGCTGCTTCTTTTCCAGGATTAAACCTATGCACCAAAATGATAGCAAAACATGTAACTAGTTTTGTACTGGCGTCTAAACTGTGCATTTTCTTGAAATTTCTCACCACTGCACTATCAGTAGTACATTTGTACCGCTTGAAGTAATAAAAGGAGACAAGACCTGAATGCACAGCAGCATTTTTGCCACCAGGTCATTTATACTTTTTCTAATTAGGGTTAATAGCTTTTTAAGGCCCAAAAGGACTATTATATGATCATCTAGTCTGATCTACATAACACAGGGTCACAGAATTCCAGTAAGTGTTTCCTGCAGCTAGACTAGAAATTTATGGTTTAACTGGGGGATATCTTTTAGGAATAGGCTAGTGATAAAAAGAGAGTTGAGAAATATGGTTAGTGGTATGTAAAGTAAGATTTTGTATTGACCAAAGTTGCAATACAACAACCTCAAATGTTGTGAGGTCATGATGAAATGTGACTGTGTCCCATGCAGACCAAAATCAGATAGCAGGCAGATTAAGACTGATGCCTGTATCAAAGATATGAATTTGATCTCATTAAGTTTTCCTATCCCATGTTCCAGCATGGAATTAAATAAAAGCAACATCAAAACTAGCTTGTATTTTTTTTAAAGCAGAAAAAATTCCTCAAAACGAGAGAGAGTCAAATACTCTGACCATCTCATTAATGCACACTGGATACAGTAAGTAACTGCAAAATAGGTTTTAAAGTAATACATCCAGTTAATATAGTATAAGCCACAACCACACACTCAAATTTACTCCAAAATGGAGCAAATAATAGATTTATATGGGGTACAAGGAAGGAGCAGAGAAGCTATAATTCCCCATCTCTTCTAAATCATCAGATTACACCTAAAACATGTAATCATTTCCCAGCCATCTCAAACACCTGTAAGGGAGAGCCTAGATTTATCTGGTCCTACTCAGTGCAAAGGGCTAGACATGACCACTTCTCAGGATGCTTCCAACCTTGCCTTTCTATTCTCCTCCTTCCAGCTATATGGTACAATCATTTACAAAATTGTTGTGCTTCACCTTGTCCCACAAAAATACTGCTAATAAATCATAGCTGGATGCTCTAGAGCAGCACAGGGTAACAGAAGATCCAAGGGCCACAGTCAGGAACTAGGTGGCTTGTTAACACAGACAGGAAAGGGGGAGCTTGCTCTAGTTTCTAACTCAGAAAGGAAGAGGCAGAAGAAGGGGGCAATTTCATGGTTTGGAGAAGGAAGGGAAGACCAGGCAGTTCAATGCCCCAAGAGAGCAGGGGCAGTTAAAAAGTCCTAGGCTATGTCTACACTACAAGGTTTTTGTGCAAAAACCAGCCGTTTTTCGTGCAAACACCAGCAGAGCATCCACACTTCAAATGCGTTTTTACGCAAGAAAATCAACAGAACAGAGGGCTTTTGCTGGTAGAGTTATTCTTCTACCCATGAGGAATAACTCCTTTTTGCGCTACACCTTTTGTGCAAAAAAGGCATGTGTGGACATTCCGGAGGGGTTTTTGTGCAAGAAACCCCTATCAGAAAAAGCACAGGTCAATGGCAATCAGAGCTTTCTTGCGCAAGAGTATCCATGCAGTGTGGACGCTCTCTTGCGCAAAAGCACATCACTTTTGCGATGCACTCTGAGGTCTGGACACCTTTTGTGCAAGCAGTTTTTGTGCAAGAACTCTTCAGCAAAAGGCTTCTTGCACAAAAGCTCTGCAGTGTAGACAAAGCCCTAGAGTGGGATGAGGCTTAGCTAGAAAAGAGGAAGGAGCAGTGTAGAAGCTGGGGAGACGAACAATGTGCGGTTCCATAGAATGGGTGTGTATAGGCTGGGGTAGAGGGGAAGGGAGGAACTGTGGGGAGGAGAGGAAGGGCTACTGGGGAGCCCGGGCCCAGCAGGGGTTGAGGTGGTGAAAGGGGCGCCAGGAACAGAGGAAGGGACGCTCAAGAGCCCAGGGCAGTGTAAGGAGTGGTGGGCACCAGGGGACCGTGCAGTGGCGGGGGAAAGGGGACACGGGAGAGCCCCAGGACTGGTGGGCACCGGGGAAGCCCTAGGGAGCGGCGCAGGGACTGAAGAGATGGGGCAGTAGGGAGCCCCAGCAGCGGGGCAGGGGCCGGGGGGGGCGGGGGCCCGGGGGGCCCCCC